CTAAATTTAGTGAGTATAGGGTTAATGACAATTAATAAATTTCTTGCTCTAAACTTCTTTTGAAACCCCACAATCATTTTTATACACCTATATATTCTTTGTTGAAGTGGTGGAACTTGTCCCTTTTTTAATATCTTAATGAGATGCAGGTTCATGTGGGCATTTCCTTTACTGAAATAGATAAGGAATCCTTATCTATTTCAGTAAAGGAAATGCCCACATGAAACTGCATCTCATTAAGATATTAAAAAGGACAAGTTCCACCACTTCGAACAAAGAAATATATAGGTGTATAAAAATGATTGTGGGTTTCAAAGAATTTAGAGCAAGAAATTTATTAATGTCATTAACCTATACTCACTAAATTTAGTGCCCAGCACAGCACAGTGCCTGTGCCCCCCTTGACCACGTTAGACAAAAATGCTCCAAAGATGAAAACAAATTGGAACTAGGTGCCCTCCGCTGGGGCCCTATCTTTGTGAGCTTGGCCCATCTTGGAAAGGGACAGAATAAATCATCATGTACCATTGATCATTCTCATCTCAAAAAACACCTTAGCAGTCTTTTATAGTTTTTAACCGAAGTTACATTATTTAAATGTCCTCCCAATCTCTCTCTCTCTCTCTCCCCCTCTCTCTGTGTCAATGGTTTTTCCTTATACATATAAACTCAACAAAGCATTTGTACCTCTCTCATTTCTGATAATTGCAACTCTAGAAGTTTACAATGGGGTTTCCTCAAACTCCAAGCCATCCTCACTTGTATTCACAAGCACTGCAACAAAAACTTTACCAGGTCTTCATATATTTTCAATCCCAGTACTGTTTTCAATCATTCTTTTTCTGTTGTTTTATTTGTTCTACCTCAAGAGGCGGACTTCCACTGCCTCATCTCCTCCACCAACACTTCCGAGGACCTTAAACCAAGCAACTCCATTCGCCCCTTTGGTAACTCTCTCTCTCTCTCTCTCCCACACACACACACACACACACACATTAGCTTGTTAAATTAAGGGCAAAAATATATTTTGGTCTATAAATTATATGTTTTGTGTAATTTTGATCCCCAAATTTTCAATCGGGTCAATTTAGCATTTCAAGTATTCAATTTATGTCACTTTTGTCCAATAAAAAATGACAGTTTAAATTGATTAATTGAGATAGTAATGTAAATCTCACGTGATAGGGTCATTTTTTCTAAAAACGTAAGAGATTAAAGAGATACAAACAGTAAACGTAAAAGACTAAAATGACATATTATAATTATGAGAATTAAAGTGACCCCTTAAGTGTAGTCATGTGAGACACGTAAACGATAACACACTACTGTTCAACTTAAACCGTTGTCTTTGATTGGACCAAAATCACAAAAAAATTTAACTTTTAGAAACTATTACTATATTTTTTATGCTTAAATGAATTTCTCTAATTCTACATTTTCCCTGTGTTAAACCAATAGGGTGAAATGGGCTTGAAGGGGAACCTCAAAGAAAAGCTTCCAGTAATCTCCTTTAATGATGATCTGAAGATAAAAGAATCGCAGTAAGTCTTTTACTTTCTTCAGCAAGTTCTTAAATTTCGCACTGGATGTGAAGACAAAAGCAATCACAGCAATTTACAACACTGTTTTGACTGTAGAAGTTTCACGATTTGAACACTGCTGTTTTAAATAAGACTGCCGAATGTTTTGAGAATATTTTGAAGGTGTTGTGTTTGCTTGGGAGAATTCGAGATCAATGAGAAGGTGCTGCAGCCACGTTTGTGCAAACACATCGTTCACATCGACTGCATACGCCACTGGCTCCATTCAAACTCCACTTGTCCACTATGTAGATCCTCGGTCATTGCCACCACCAAGCATGCCAATTTTGATCTACCTGTCAGTCCCGAACCAGTTGAGCAAGATAACCAAAACTTCCACCACGATCCACAGAATATCGCTTTTGTAGGGCAACAAGGTCAACTAAGTAGAGGTAGAACAATTCTGAATTCTTGCTCGATAGAGCAGCATATCGTCCTAATAGAAGGATCATCCAGTGCAAGCTCATCCATTTGCAGAGACAGTGAGCTGAGTTCTCTATATCCTGAATCAGTCGTTCTCAGCATTCAATCTCATGGTAGTTAAGAGTGGGGTCCCTGTGGCTGAACCTTTTTTTTTTCCAAAGGAGTTAGAATTCTTAAATAAGCTCAAAGCCAGTGATTTTGTGCTTGTATTCCCTCTAGTATCCAATTTTCGGCTGTGAAATTCACATTTGAAAACGCACACAATCAAGAAAAGTTGAATTGTAAACATAAACGTTTTGTGTTCAAGTTCCCCAGGCAACTTAAAACACGACTTCCAAATGAAGAACAAATGATGCAATATTTTTGATAAATGAGCACGTTACATAGATGACCATCCAGGCCAGACTTTCTACCCTACAAATTGTATACTACAAACGAAGCCTAATAGCACAGAGAGTGAAAAATTCAAAACAATGATACTATCTTCAAATCTCCCACAGTGAAAGCCCTTTCATATCTTCATTATGAGAGAAGTTGTGGTGTAAAGAGCCCATGACAGAAATATAGAAATGATGGTGGTCTTAATAGGCATCCTTCCTTTGTCAGTCCTCAAGACCATGGCTTCATAAATTGGAAAGCAATTCACTATCCCAAAACCAGCCATAAACATTTGCACAAACGATCCATCTACATTTCCACCACTGCAAACTTCAAGTAGTCCCCTGAGGAACGCGACCAAATTGATTGTTGCTGCCATTGCTAGAGGCACAAACATGGGCGACGGAACACCAAACTCAAAGGTCCCTTGATCATACCTTTTGCTGTGTTCATCGTCAACTACTTTGCTGGTTACATTGAATTGCTGTGTCGTGACACCCAAGTTTTTGGTCACGAACTCGATTAATCCAAACAAATAAGGTGAAAGTCCCCTTATGATCCACATCCTCTGATCACTCCACCACCTTTGGATAGTACCTTCGGCTAAGATGAAGTCAAGGCAATCTTGTGCATAGGCCCCAAGAAATAGAAAAACGTGCAACACAAACCATAAATCCAAGACCTGAAAGATACTTCATTAAAATTATCAAAAAAACTGTACACATACTGCTGAGTAGTGCACATTTATTGTTGAACTAACAAAGTGAAGGGACACCGTGAAATGAGTAGCATAGAATAAGGGATATGTGGGTAATACTGTGCAGAAGATACCTTGGGAAATATCCAGACTTTATTGAGGAGAGCCAGCTGAGGTAGGAATGCATAAGTGGTTATTGGAATAGACCATATGGGCATGAAGGCTAAGTGTGCATAATTCAGACCCATTAGAGGGCCCATGGCCTGGGCACCAAATGTTACAGGACAATACTTGGAGAAGGCTACCTCAAGGAGGCCGACGGACCACCGCTTGGTCTGGCTTAGCACATCATTGAGGGAGATAGGGGTATCCCCCAAAAATGCCGGCCGATCAGGGTGGCAAAATACTTAGTTCCACCCCTCGCATTGCAGCCGATATCCCGTGTAGTAGTTCTCCACCAAGGATCCATATCTGAAGCCCATCTGGCTCATGAAAGCACAAAGTTAGCAATAAATCGATAATACCGATGCTTAAAATATCCCATTGAAAATTAAGTATTAATAGAAATGTAAATTTGAACAGGTTGAACAGATTAAGAGGGCAACCCAAGTTACAAGATTTGAAACACGGATTGACTCCTCTGCATCCCTAAGTCTTCAAAATAGTGAATCAGCATGATTTGATATAAAGTTAATAAGCTTACCTTGGAACCCCAATTGGTTTGGTTTTCATAATTGCAACCAGCTACAAGATGCACCAGTGCCAAAATAGGTTGGGCCTTGATGGGCTTTTCGACGACGTGGTCCGGGCTCAGTTCAGGAAATTCAGGTGGGAGAAATGACGATGGAGCCCCAAAAAAACCCGACGCCCGAAAAAAGCATCCTGTTCCGAAATGACTAGGCCCGGAGAGCCCATCCATTCCAACTGGTTGGACTTGAAACACACGTTTGAGCTCGCATGCATAGATATCAGCTTCGTTCAGGCCATGAAAGCGTTGGGGAAACTGAATATACCCCAAGTTTGGCCGACTTGGGGAATCGGTAATGTAGCATAACATACGGTGAAGTGTTTGGATGTCATTGGAGTACATGTCACAGTCCAGAGTCAAGATGATTGGTGCATTGGTCATGATGGCAGATACTCGAAGCTTCAATACACCAAAAAACGAGAAAAAAAAAAACTAATTCACCACAGCTTTATATATGTAGGTTTGCTATGGAGACAAGCAAGATGATTTGAAAAGTTTTGGATTGCGCTTTGTACCAAGGTATTGAGGGCGCCAGCCTTAAAATGATGTGGGGAAGCTCTACTTTTATGCCTCGATACGTATATAAAATTAGGCATTGATTGGCCTATATTGTCTCTGTCTTTTCCCATCTCTAACAAAACCTGTTTGAATAGTTGCATGCCGTGTAAATGAAGAAGGTGACATTATAACATGAAATTTATATATATGTAGTAGCATTATTGTCTTTGAAAACAAATGATAAACAATTCTCGAGTACTCAGCCATAACACTATCCTGTTATTTTTTCAGGTGATCCAGTTTTGATTGGAAGGAATGCAAGTGCAGAAGGTGGATGGGAGAGAGGAACCAGGATTACAGAGGGATGGTCTTGACAAGTGAACCCTTGTGTCCATTTGTTAAAAGCTTCACGCTCTTCTTCACCGGTAACATGTTCTTCACCTACTTTACCTGTTTCAACCACTTTCGCTACCCTTATCTTCATGCTTTCTACATCATCTGTTACATACATGGATCAAGATTCAGAGGCACTGATATCAATATGATCAAGGTCATTAGCAGCTCTACCAACAAGGTTTAATTTATCTGTACTAAACTATCCATTGGACTGTAAATGGTGATCTTGCTAAAAAATAGTTGAAACCGAAAAAGTTGTGGTATATCCAGTAGGTTTTTTATTTGTGACTTCAACGTTGATATTATCAATTACGACTGTCACCGTCGAGAGATCATTTTCTGCAATAAAAATTAAAAAAAATTAGGTTACATAATCAAACGAATGATTAATAAATGACAGATAACTGATTAATTGTATAAAAAAGACATTTTTTAATGACATTGGTAATGAAGTTATCATGCAATGTATTCAAAGTATGAAAACTCGTTAGAGTTAATTGTAAATAGCTATAATTGGCCCCATTTTTGTATATGTTGGGCTTTTTGTGGAGTCTAGTTTGTACGTGGATCCGGATGATAATCCAACCCGAAATAATATTATTTGATTTTTAATGAAAATTTTTTGAGGCTTGGGCCTGTTTTGTGACCCGATGCGTAGGACATATAAAAGACCATTACTTTGGTGATTAAGATTCTATCTATATATAGTCACTCTCTATAATCCTCTCTCTCTTAAAAGTGAAAACCCTGCAGTTTCGTGGACGTAGGCAAATTATCGAATCACGTAAAAATTGTGTCTTGTTATTTCTTGTTTCTTATTATTTTATATTTCTTGGTTTGTTCTTCAATTGTGTGTGTTTGTCTGTGAGTTTAAAGCGTATTAAATCCTAGCAGTGTAGAGTTATAATTATTATTTTTTTTTGTCATTTTTTGTTTGCATAGACTATGTATACAGTCTTTTGGCGATTTTGTATTCAATGAATTTTGATATAACAAATATGATGTTTAAAATACAAATGTATCACATTTTTTATTTATTTATTGAAAGAAAAAAAATTAAATTTTGTAGTAAGAGTGTGCCCGCTCTAAAAAATTTTTTTGGCTCCACAGTATGTTCTTGACCAAGACTCCAATAATTCTAAGCGTGCGTGTGTGTGTTTTTTTTGATACGAAACGATAATATTTTTTTATATATTTAGACACCATCTTGGAGAGTAATTGAGAAAAAGTCTGGAGCACCCCCTCTATACATTATAATCCAAAAGAGTACTTGCATTCCTAACTAAATACTGGGCATTCTTATGAATCCAAGTTACATCAATAGAAGAAAAGTTTGGCATACGCTTAAATTATAGCACGAATAGAGACAAGAAGATAGCAAATGGCCTCACCACTTGCACTCCTCCCCTTGCAGCCTCTGAATTGATTGGTTTGGAACTGCTCTAAGTATTCAACAAAACTTTATATGTAAACAAAAAAATATAATTCAATATAACTATTTGATCAACATGTGTTGGAGCCCGACAAAGCTATCAAAATCATTAGATATGAGATAATTTAGCATGATGGTCCAAAAACCGACACTCACTCTAATTTAGGTGATTTTCTTTTCCACGGAACAGAAGATTATGTGGCTAAACCATGCTCGAGTGTTCTATTATTAAGTGATAATTTGTATATCTCTTATCTTCTGTTTGGTAACGAGGGTAAAAAGTAGGAAGAATGAAAAGTAGAAGGGATACACTTTCTATCTTTTAAGGATAGAAAGTAGGAATGATACACTTTTCATTCTTTGTGTTTGGTAAGATGGATGAAAAATAAAAATTACTATTTTTTCTTTTTGTGCCGGCTAGGATTAGGAGTGACAATAGAGTCAAGTTGTGTCGTATCAGATTCGTATTGAGTCATTACGAGTTTGTGTCGAATATTAGTCAAACCTAATTTAACCATTTAACTAATTGTGTCGTGTCGAGTTGCGAGTTGATTTATTTATTTTCGCATCGAGTTCGAGTCGAGTCATCGTGTTGAGTCAAAAATTTTCATCCTTAGATAAGATGGAAAAAATATATATTTTTTAAATTTTAAATTTTTATTTTTTAAATTATTTTTCAAAATTTTTTAAAATATATATACATATTTTACCATTGTATTTTTTTTATGAAATTAATGTATACATAAGATATATCTATATAATAAAACAGGAGTGTGTTTGAATTTTATCCCAGTCATATTTTTCCCCTTAAAATCATCACTAATTATTTATCTCACCTATCATCCCTTTATTACTCAAATGTCAAATTGCATCACTTATTTCTATCATATATTTAATCATTTATATATTTCTTCCCTAAAAATATCACATCACTTATTTCTATCATATATTTAATTATTTAATATTTGATTAATTTGTAGTTAATATATTTTGAAAAAAACTAATATAATAGGATCAATTTTTTGGATTATCAAATTTTATATTTAATCGTGCCTTCAGGCACGGGTTATGACTAGTAGACAAATAAGACACATCTCAACACAAATAATTAACTTTTCATCTACTTTCCTTCTAATTTTGGAGGGATTGATTTTAATGAATTGGAAGGAAAGTTAATCCACAACTTTTTCATCCTTCCTACTTTCCTTCTTTACCAAACGTGATGTTTTATTTATCCTTTTAACTTTCCATTCTTTCAACTTTTCATCCTACCACTTTTTTATCGTACCAAATGGAACATTAAGTTTTTCAAGTTTAATTTTCTTTACAACTGATTGTGTACTCCCAAAATACAAATCATAGTCGTGATTTTGCATTATAAAAAAAATTAAATCTCTAATTTTTTTATTTATTACGAGATACGGATATAATAATATATAAGAACTCTAAAAATTAAATATTTTTTATATTTTTATTATTGCATGATACATAATTGTAGAAAATGTGGCAGACAAGATGATAAGGTGATCCCACCACTGGATTGATACGTTGACACGTGTCTAATGAAGGACTCTTTTAACTTTTTATCTCCTACTTCAGTCAAAAAGTCATTCTATCTGTCGCCAGTCTCGTTCTTGTCTTCTGATTTATAAAGTTAGGGTTGCGAGAACTGTGCAAGTACGGGAGTTTGGCCAACGTCGATGACAACCTTGATCAAATACTTCTCGTGGCTTAGCGTAGTCGTAAGGGTGGCAGTGGTCTTCTCGCCGTGAATCAGCTGTTGATCTTCGAATGCTTTTTCTTCTGCTTCGTCACCAGCGACAGTGAGTATGCATACATGTACATATATGTATCTGCAGGCGTATCCCAATCGTATCTTGCCTATTCTCCCGTATCATATCCGATATTAAAAAATGATTTTATTAAATATGGGAGACATATTTGACGTATTAGATACGTATTTCGGCGTATCGGGTGCGTATCCGATACGGATAGGACACCCTCTTTGACGATCGGTGCTTCATATTCTAAACATCATTAGGCTGCCCGTTAGATCTGGTTAAGGTGTTAAAAGAACCTATCTTTGAAGTTTTAAGGAATGTCGATGAAATCTAAGCTTGACCTGAACTGTCCAAACAGACATAGATAGATTACACAATTTTACACCATTCAACGGAGATTCACATTTCTGCAAGGGTTATTTTTCTCCCATATTTGATGTTGTTATGATTACTCTTAAAGCTGTAGCCTTAGTTGCTTGCTCAACATCAAAACAGGGAAATTGAAAGTACAAAACTAGCTATATGTGTGTGTGTGTGTGTATTCACAAAGATATACAAGTGATATACACAGTACACACAGACAAGAAGCACAAAACGGAAAATGGAATTGGAAAAAGGCCAATAGGAAAGGAAAAAGGAATAAAAACATTAAATAAGTTCAATGCAAAACTCAAACGGATGAACACAAAAATATAAATATCCAATAAAGAGTGAAGATTTATCGCTTAATGAAGAATTCACCTTGATTTTCTCTGTCTCTGAACTCCTAGGGTGGTTTGATCTGAAGTAAGCTTCTGGACACCTATCTACGATGTTATTTTGCCGTCAGTAGGGTAACCAGTGCTTCCCAAACTTTGCAGCCTCCATTAAAGCAAAGAGAGTGAGCTCCGAACCTCCATCGTCTGATACATACACCGAAAGCTTCTCCGTTGGGTAGTCATAAGCCATCACCGATAAGGCCGTGTTGACGACGGTCATCGGCGGCTCTTTGTAGGGATCTGCAGTGCATATAAAGATGTCCATCGCCGGAAAATCCATCCGATCAACGACTTTCTCAAGGTTTTCAGGGAATTGTTGGCGAAGGATTGGCATGAGAAAGGCTTGTGTGGTGGACCACATCAATCCCAGAAGAATATCAGAGATTAACATAGATATAGATATAAAGAAGGAGACTAACGTGGTGGAGTGGAGAAGTGTGAGTACATGGTGGTAGAGCAGAGCAAAGATGGCGGTGGTGTAAACTCCGGCGAACAAACGGTTGAAGGGTGTGCGACTCATACATTTATGTGTGTGAAGAGGAGACTTGGAGAGGGTGCTCTCCATTTCCCTTTGCTGGCGCTGTTTCTTGGGGATGACATTATTTGCAAGACTTTGTTTTTTTTAAAGATCTATCAGACTTGGAGGTACCAAAATCTTTTTTTTATTAATTTAAAAACTATTTATAAATATTAAAGAATTTCTTTTCATCTTTAATTATATAATTTAAAATTAATTTGTATCAATTATTTTTTTAAAAAATCAATAAAATTTTCTCAATAGACATAATTTCAAAAAATAAATATTAATATGTGTATATTATCGTACAAGAATAATTTCTAAATTAAATTATTCAACTTGGGATAAAAATTGGTGATGTGATAGAAATAAACCAAAAAGTATATGAAGATAAAATTAAAAATAGTGGCTATTTTTTATATAGATAATTTATTTAATAAAAATGTTACACATGTAAATTAATTTATGTAAATGTTATATGTTAGTTTATCTTACTATTAAGAATAGAGGAATGCTACTAAAACTTAATTTAAGTATCTAATGTATTATGGACATTGATTACTCCACAAGTTACTAAAGTTACATTTTGACACTATTTAATATTAATATAATTCTGAATAAACCTTCATGTTTTTTTTTCTATTTTTTACTTGGGTGATGCTATTGAAATATAAAAATATGATTAAATTTATTGACCTAATGTCTCAAGTCTTAACGTTACACTTTCAATAATACAATTAATTTATATCATTGTAAGTACATTAATATTTTAGACCATAAATTAGGACGGATTCTTAAATGTCGAAAGCATTACTCCTTTGACCTTTTTCTTTTCTTGAACAGAAGCTTGGGGGAGGGGGTCATAATCAGTTAAACTAATTCCTAATAATCACAACTTGTCATCAAGAGACGACATTAGTATGCAATCGAAGTAAGCAATTAAAATGATTGTGATAAACATATATACAAATAATTTTTGAGTAACTAAACTCTAAAAATGAAAGTTATGCCAGTTTCGAATCACATACATTCATAAAAAGCTAAATGGTGAGAGAATTAGAATGTAAACCTTATTTTCTTTTTTCTTGGTATTAGAAAACAAATGCTTCCACAAGTGAAAGCCAGTGATTTTGTGCTAGTACTCCCTCTAGTACCCAATTTTTGGCAATGAAATTCATATTGGAAAACCCACGCAATCAAGAAGAGGCAAATTATAAACCTGAATGTTTTGTGTTCGAGTTCCATTTGCAGCAAAAAACCCGGCTTCCAAATGATACTATGAGCACATGTTACTAGGTGACCATCCAGGCCAGACTTCCTGCCCTACAAATTGTATACTCTAAAGTAAGCTTAATAGCACAGAAAGTGAAAAATTCTAAACCATGATACTTATATATCTTGAAATCTCCCACAGTGAAATCCCTTTCATATCTTCAATATGAGAGAAGTTGTGGTGTAAAGAGCCCATGACAGAAATATAGAAATGATGGTGGTCTTAATAGGCATCCTTCCTTTGTCAGTCCTCAAGACCATGGCTTCATAAATTGGAAAGCAATTCACTATCCCAAAACCAGATATAAACATTTGCACTAACGATCCATCTACATTTCCACCACTGCAAACTTCAAGTAGTCCCCTGAGGAACGCGATCAAATTGATTGTTGCTGCCATTGCTAGGGGAACAAACATGGGCGACGGAACACCAAACTCAAAAATCCCTTGATCATACCTTTTGCTCTGCTCATCGTCAACTACTTTGCTGGTGACATTGAATCCATGTGTGGCGACACCCAAGCTTTTGGTCACAAATTCGGTTAATCCAAACAACTGAGATGAGAGTCCTCTTATGAGCCACATCCTCTGATCACTCCACCACCTTTGGATGGTACTATCGGCTAAGATGAAGTCAAGGCAATCTTGTGCATAGGCCCCAAGAAATAAAAAAATGTACAAGACAAACCATGGATCTGTGACCTGAAAGATATTATATTAAAATCATAAAAAAAAACTGTACACATACTGCTGAGTATTGCATATTTATTGTTGAACTAATAAAGTGAAGGGACATTGTGAAATGAGTAGTATAGTATAGGGGATATGTGGGTCATATTTCCTACAAGTGCAGAAGATACCTTAGGAAATATCGAGAAATTACTGAGGAGAGCCAGCTGAGGGAGGAATGCATAAGTGGTGATTGGAATAGAAAATATGGGCCAGAAGGCATAATATGCAAAACACAGACCCATTAGAGGGCCCATGGCCCGGGCACCAAATGTTACGGGGCAATACTTGGAGAAGGCTACCTCAAGGAGGCCGACGGACCACCGCTTGGTCTGGCTTAGCACATCATTGAGAGTGATAGGGATATCCCCCAAAAATGCCGGCCGATCAGGGTGGCAAAATACTGAGTTCCAACCCTCGCATTGCAGTCGATATCCCGTGTAGTAGTCCTCCACCAAGGATCCATATCTGAAGCCCATCTGGCTCATGAAAGCACAAAGTTAGCAATAAACTAATAATACCAAAGCTTAAAATATCCCATTGAAAATTAAGCACTAATATAAATACAAATTCTAACGAGTTGGACAAATTGAGAGGCCAACCCAAGTTATAAGATTTGAAACAAGGATTGACTCCTCTGCATCACTAAGTCTTCAAAATAGTGAATTAATATGATTTGATATAAAGTTAATAAGCTTACCTTGGAACCCCAATTGGTCTGGTTTTCAAAATTGCAACCAGCTACAAGATGCGCTAGTGCCAAAATAGGTTGGGCCTTGATGGGCTTTTCCACGACGTGGTCCGGGCTCAGTTCAGGTAATTCAGGTGGGAGAAATGACGATGGAGCACCAAAAAAAACCCGACGCCGGAAAAAACATCCTGTTCCAACATAACTAGGCCCGGAGAGCCCATCCATTCCAACTGGTTGGACTTTAAACTCACGTTTGAGGTCGCATGCATAGATATCGGCTTCGTTCAGGCCATGAAAGCGTTGGGGAAACTGAATGTACCCCAAGTTGGGCCGACTTGCGGAACCGATAAGGTAGCATAACACACGGTGAGGTGTTTGGGTGTCATTGGAGTACATGTCACAGTCCAGAGTCAAGATGACGGGTGAATTGGTCATGATGGCAGATACTCGGAGCTTCAATACACAAAAAACCAAAAAAACAAAAAAAATTGGATTTGAAAAGGTTTGCAACGGAGACAAGCAAGATGATTTAAAAAGTTTTGGATTGCGCTTTGTACCAGGGCATTGAGGGCGCCAGCCTTAAAATAATGTGGGGAAGCTTTGCTTTTCTGCCTCGATACGTATATAAGATTAGGCATAGATTGGCCTGTGTTGTCTTTGTCTTTTTTCATCTCTAACAAAACCTGTTTGAGTAGTTGCATGCCACGTAAATGAAGAAGGTGACATTACAACATGAAATTTATATATATGTAATATTATTGTCTTTGAAAACATAGATTGATGATATTATATCATTCTCGAGTATTGAGCCGTAGCAATATCCTGTTTATTTTTTCAGGTGATCCAGTTTTGAGTGGAAGGAACCTGGATGGGAGAGAGGAACCTGGATTACGGAGGGATGGTCTTGACGAGTGAACCCTTGTGTCCATTTGTTAAAAGCTTCACGGTCTTCTTCACTGCTAACATGCTGGTCGCCGACTTTACCTGTTCCAACCACAGTCTCTACCCTAATCTTCATGCTTTCATACATCATCTGTTACATACATGGATCAAGATTCAGAGGTACTGATATCAATATGATCAAGGTCATTAGTAGCTCTACCAACAAGCTTTAATTTATCAGTACTAACTATTCATTGGACTGTAAATGGTGATCTTGCTCAAAATAGTTGAAACCGAAAAAGTTGTTGTATATCCACTAGTTTTTTTACTTTTTTTACTCGTGACTTTGACGTTGATATTATCAATTGCGACTATCCCTGTCGGAAGATCATATTCTGCAATAAAAGTTATAAAAATTAGGTTACATAATCAAACGAATGATTAATAGATGACAGATAATTTGATTAATTGTATAAAAAAAGACATTTTTCCAATGATATTGATAATAAAGTTATATGAAGTGTTTTCAAAATATGCAAACTCCTTGGAGTTAATTGTAAATAGCTATAATTAGCCCCATTTTTTTTAAAGAGTTATAATTAATCGCTTTTTTTTTTTTGGTAGTTTTTTTGTATGCATAGACTATGTATACAGTCTTTTGGTGATTTTGTATTCAACGAATTTTGACCTAACAAATATGATATTTAAAATATAAATGTATCACAATTTTTTTTTATTGGAAGTAAAAAAATTAAATTTTGTAGTTAGAGTTCGCCTGCTCTAAAATTTTTTTTGGCTCCGTGGTATGTTCTTGACCAAGACTCCAATAATTCTTCGCGCGTGTGTGTTTTTTTTTGATCTGAAACGATAATCTTTTTTCATTTTTAGTCATCATCTTGGAGAGTAATTGAGAAAAAGTCTAGAGCAACCCCCTCTATACATTATAATTCAAAAGAGTATGCCAAACTAAATAGTGGGCATTCCTATGAATCCAAGTTACATCAAAAGAAGAAAAGTTTCGCACACGCTCAAAAGAAGAATAGAGACAAGAAGATAGTAAATGGCCCCACCACCACTTCCACTCGTACCCTTGCAGTCTCTGAATTGATAGGTTTGGAATTGCTATAAGTATTCAACAAAAATTTATATATAAACAAAGAAAAATAGTGTTTGAATTTAATTTAAAAATATAATTCAATACAATTATTAAATCGGATAACTTCATGTGGTGGAGCCCGGCATAGCTATCAATATCATTAGGTATAACATAGTTCAGCATGATGGTCCAAAATCTGAAACTCACTCTAATTTAGGTGAATTTCTTTTCCACGGAAAAGAAAATTATGTGGCTAAACCGTGCTCGAGTGTTCTATTATTAAGTGATGACGTGTAAATCTATTTAAGTTTTTTAAGTTCAAGTTTCTTTACGAGTGATTGTATACTTCCAAAATACAAATCATAGTCATGATTTTGTATTATAAAAAATTCTGGATTTTTAATTATTTACTTATTATGAGATACGAGTACGATATGATACGAATATAATGATAACTCTAAAAATTAGAATACAGGTATATGTTTAATAATTAAATATATTTTATATTTTTATTATTGCATGATATATAGTTGTTAAAATTTTGAATATATTTTAAATACTTAATATATACACATACTTAAAAAAATCACATTGGGCCTGAGCCCAATTGAAAATAAAAGAAAAAGATCATTAGAATTAATAATTAAAAAACGAAGAAATGTGGCAGACAAGATGATAAGGTAATCCCACGACTAGATTGATACGTTGACACGTGGCCAATGAACAACTCTTTCCTGCCGCGTTCTTGACTTCTGATTTATGAAATTTGGGTTAGGAGAACTGTGCCAGTACGGGAGTTTGGCTAACGTTGATGACACCCTTGATCAAATGCACCTCGTGGCTTAGCAAATGATTTTATTAAATAAGGGATACATATTCGACGTATATTTCGGCATAGTGCATATCCGATACGGATAGCACACCCTCTTTGACGATCGGTGCTTCATATTCTAAACATCATTAGGCTGTCTGTTAGATCTGGTTAAGGGCGTGTGACCAACTAAAAGAACCTATCTGTGAAGTTTTAACGAATATCGAAGAAATCTAAGCTTGACCCGAACTGTCCAAACAGACACCGATAG